TAATAAATACACCAACTAAGACTCGGTATTGTCCTCTCTCTCTCTCTCTCTCTCTCTCTCTCTCTCTCTCTCTCTCTCAGATCCATGCGATCTATCTACATATGAGAAGAAGAAGAAGAAGATGGACTCCAAGTGTTCGATGCGCGGCCTCTCGCTCTCTCACACACACACACAAAGATATACATGAACGCATATGCCCCCTTTTTACATGTAAGAAGAAGATAACCTCCAAGTGTTCGATGTGAGGTCCCTCTCTTTTTATTTTAATAAAATCCAAGTTGGCCAGAGAATCACAGTTTTGGGCGGATGGTAATTCCATCCTGGCGGATTGGATTGAAAGATCAATCAAGCAAGACTTTATGCGATGCAAGCAAGGTTCAACACACATGATCCGTCCTTCTATCAATCGAGAAAAGAACCAAGTCTAAGAATTCCTACATCTCTCAAAGCCTTCTAAAGTAAGTCGAAAGGCTACTTCCTTCCAAGTGTTCGAGACCTCTCTCACACAAGTACATAACCAAAAAAGAAGAAAGGAAAAAAGAGGATGATCTTTAAGAATTTCTTGCAAGACCTCATGCACATACATACATGTGCATGCACATACATACATGCGCATGCACATACACACACAAAAAACAACATATGGCCCCCACCCCCAACCCCCTTTCCTCGGGCTGCCCAGGTATCTAAGCGCCCGCCTAGGCGGCCCAAATCCCTGGCCGCCTAGGCGGCCACAACTGTCTTCTTAAACATTGCTTATTACTCACAATTACAAATGTCATCATATTCCTTTTCTCTTTTTTTGGCGGTGGGTTGTTGGTTGCCAGGTTGGGCTAGCTAATATTTGTTTGTATTGTATGTTGCAGACACCTGTAGCGACAATTGTACATGCATACAGAGGGTACAAGAATGAATAACACAAAAGCTTATGGTTATTTGAATACCATTTATATCAAAAAATTTATATGCATACAATGTGTATGGAGCATCCTTTTCATGTACAACACAAATACCCAAAGGTTATTTTTGGATTATCCAAGTGCTGGATTAAGCATAGATGGCCACACAATGGAGAGAGAACTTGGCACTTAACTATAATTATGTTTTTAACTGATTACAATCAATGTGGTCATTATCAGTGTCTTATACCTTGGATTTAACTGCCCAGGGCAAGTTAGCTCGGCGAGTCCCGAGTCCATTCACCGAGTCCCATCTTTAGACAACCATAGTTGGTTCTCTCGGTCTCATCTTTAGAAAACCATACTTCTTGAGGGACATTCCATGGATTTTCTGAAGAGTTAACAGATTCAAGTAGACTCAGCAAAACTCAGACAATCAGATTCTAAGCTTATTTGGAGCCGGTACTTATTTGGAGCCGGTACGTTGCCAACTCAGAGTGACTCAGGCAAGCCCAAGTCAGACTCACCGAGTTTTTAACACTGGTACTTATCATGAAAATACATAATCCCTAGATGGGCAGGACCGGAGTAATCTAATTAACACGTGTATTACTACAACCTCCAAAGAAAGGCAGCATGCTTACATCAAAAGTGATGCACCCTATGCACATTAAACCCAAATTTCTAGAGAACACCTACCCCAAATCTCTAGAGAAAATTACCCCTACCCCTACATTCCAACTCCCAAATCCTATAAGCTCCAAGCAGCAGTTCAAACAGAAGGGAGCTATGCAACACTCCAAGAAGGGGCTATTGCAGGATATATGTCCCAAATTCCAGAAGGCATAGTGTGATTTTAAGTGACTCAAACAAGGTTAAGTAGGCAGGGGCAATTTAAAACATCGGGAAGGCAGATTAGAACTATAGGAGCCTCTAACCTCATGCACTCATGTACATTTGGAGGGAATAAAGAGAAGAGGAGGGGAGAGGCTAGAGAGAAAGCACTAACGCGCCACGCTGGCTCGCCGTTGCTTCTTGAAAGAAAACGGCTACGCTAATGCGCCGCGCTAGCCGTTGCTTCTTGCTTTCAAGCCTACGCTTGTTTGAGAGTGAATTGATTCAGATATGCTGTTCTACACATGAAATTGCACTAGTCAAAGCAAATAGAAAAGTTTTGTCTTTTACTCAAGCACAAAATCTTTAAAACAAAATAATAGACCTTTGAATTAAAGAAATATATATGACCCTTAAGTGGAACAAGCTTCATATTGGAGGAATCTTTTAAGAACATATTATTAATAACAATCAATCAACAAACCCAAGAAACAGGCAAATTCAAGTTGCAAGAGAGTATTGCAACTATGATTTTATGCCAAAAATGTGGGACGAAAAGTCTCCAAAGCTAAATGCTAGATTATCAACAATGATGCCTGAGCAAATCATTATACCTCGTACCTTCAGTCATAAAAAGCATTCATTAGTCATCATAAATCACCACGATCAATGAGAAAGGTAAAGTACATATATTTTGAAGTATCTTTGAAGTAATCATTAGCAAAGAAGCACATAATTCCATTGGCTGTTTCAAAGCAGTATCCAGAATTAGTTTTGACTTTTTGCGACTCATTTGAGTCCAACTCAAATCACAGGATACCCCATGTTATGCAGTTTTTTATGAAATATAAAGTTACCCAAACGACAAGTCTCCAGCAATGTTTCAAAAAACGGTTTGCCCAATGTCCAAGTGGGTGCCTACGTGCCCAAGACCCTATGCACCACATGCCTAGGCCTAGGCGACCTGTTTTGAGCAGATGTACCTAGACGGGAGCCCAAGGACGTGGGTTTTTTTTTTTTTTTAAAGATACCCAAAATGGTAAAAGGGGTAATTTTGACCACCAAAAAGGTTTAAATAGGTTATGGGGGTTATTTTCAATCCCCATAATTTCATAAACCTTGAATCTCTTAGCTATACCTATTCCTAATAATCAAAAGTATTTTTTGTGGTTTGAAAAAGCTTCCTAAACTTTTCCACTTAATATCGAATATGGAGAGTTAGAGACTATTACTAATACATATCCTATCAGACTTTTTAAATTTTATATGGTTTGAATGTTGAAATTTTGAACAAGTTTATCCTCAACATGCGATATGTCATATGTTTGTATATTAAAAAGTATGTTACAATATTTTCAAATGCAATAAATTACAAAAGGGTGCAATTGGCATACAAATGCATCCGCAGCCGTAGAGGTAAGGTGCACCTTCAAATTTTATCATGGTATATAATTTTTGATGTAAAAATGTTCTTCGGATTATCTCAAAATCT